GGGGGGGGGGGGCACAGCGAGCCGGGATTAAAACTCTCGGAACAAGATAAACTGGGATACTGTGGTAACTGGTGCAAACCGCTGCGCGGTGCGTCGTGTACGGTCGTATACTACTGCGGTCCCTTCAGCGGCGGCCACAGAATAACACCAGATCAAGTTCTCATGGGGAGAAAACAAAAAGGAAGTCACCTCACAGAAATCCTTTGTTCAGCCCTTTTTGCAAAGAAAGCCACAGAGGAAAACAGATCCCTCTCTGAGTGTATCATTTCTAAACCAACAGTTTTTAGAAAAAAAGAAAAAGAAAGACAATAACTCTTGCATTCGGCTGTTAAAAAGCCAAACGCAGGATTACAGGCCGAGTGTGTCGACGCAAGTCCGTCTGGCAGATGTCCAGTTTGTTCAGAACTGTACGCTTGCTTTAAAATAACCAGACAGCTATTTACTCCTCCATCACCACATACGTTTCCTGAGGGCCAACGCTGTATGCCAGCTTTTCCTTCCAGCCCCAGAAACCTCCATTAAGTTTGATTGAGCTGTTTAATGGCCCTCTGGTCTGGATTTGCTATCAGCTGATTGCTGCCAGCTGGATCTCTCTTGTCGAGCCCTCGTCGTCCGCTAATGATCAGACCATGAATCAAACTCTGATATGATCTTTTAAAAAATCTCTGCATAAATGCACAAGTTGTTGCATTAAGTTGCATTTTATGAAGTGCATTTTTCGGCTGCACTTCTGTGTCTCGTATTATAAAGCGAGCCACTCGGTTTGTGTTTGTTTTGGGCTGCAGGCACGGAATTGTAACTGATATTCTGCTCTTCCACCCAGGTGCCGCGGAGCTGAGCTGTAGGGAGCTGCGCTCCACCCGTTACATCACCGACGGATCGTGCCGCAGTGCCAAGCCGGTCAAGGAGCTGGTGTGCTCGGGCCAGTGCATGCCCGCGCACCTCCTGCCCAACTCCATCGGCCGTGGCAAGTGGTGGAGGGGCAGCGCCTCGGACTACCGCTGCATACCGGCCCACTCCCGGACGAGGAGGGTCCAGCTGCACTGTCCCAACGGCAACACCCGGACTTACAAAATCCGCGTGGTCACCTCCTGCAAGTGCAAGCGCTTCAGGCCCCACCACAACCAGTCGGAGGCCAAGGAGGTCCCGAAGACGCAACGCAACAAGAAGCACGACCGGAGCAAGAACAACACGCCGACACTGACGGGCAACTCGTACTGATGCTCCTCTTTCAGCTCGCCAAAGCACACGCACACACACACAACACACACACACACACACACACACACACACAACACACCAACTGATCTCCTTCAAATAGGGAGGAGATGCTAAAGAAATATCAAAGAGAGGGAATTCATAAGCTAATTGCTGGGCTGGTTTTTAAGTCATCAGTCTTTATTTGTTTTCAGCCTATTTGTGAACTCTGCTGCTTATTTGCATGAGAAAAAGGAGTCGGGGCCAGGAGCCTTCACCACAGCTGCGACCGGTCCAGAGATGTAGCACCATGTTGGATCATTTGTGATCACCCCAACAGCTCGTTTTTTTGTTTTTTGTAATGTCCTCCATTCAAAACAGCTTTCATGTAATGAGAAGTCCTCCCGCGAGGCTTTTGAGGCCCATCTGTGCAAACATCCAGCGGATGCAGAGCTGCGCCGCACCGCAGCACGCATTTCTTTTTAAAAGCTGAAAAGGTGCATCTTCGCTCCAGAGTGGTTGTAATCCACCTCCGTTTGGCTGCATCTGTGTGTGTGTGTGTGTGTGTGTGTGTGTGGAGGAGATGGTAGCAGCTCTGGGGGCTCTGACGGTGGGATGTTGACAGGTTTTGGAGAGGCCCCGGCCTGTGCGGTGGTCCGGGCAGCTCACTAAACGCCTCAGTCTTCAGGACAAACCTCAGCCACAACCAGGCCGGTCTGTTACAGAAGCACCTTTCCCACGACTATACAACGAGTCAGGAGAGGAGGAGAGAGCCGTTTTGACACCACAGGGGCACTGGGCATTCCTGTGTGACTCCTCTTAATTGCTAAATGAGCTCATTCCTGTGTTATTTCAGTCATAAAAAAAAAAGAGGCCATTTCCTCTAGACGTAGCCAGTTCCTGTTTGTTGGAAACACACGCAGACCAAAAATGAATAAATAACAAAGAGCACATGTGTGTAGGAGGCATCAGATAGTTGAGCGTGTGTTGTGTTGTTACCTGAGGGCAGAGAGCGCACGGGCCGAACGAGGCAGCGATCGACCCGTTTGTGTTCGAGGCGCTTCCACTCCCTCTCCGCTCCCGTTCTGTGAATAGCCCAAACAGGAAAGATAGGAACACAAATAACCTGCTGGAAACAATAATTGCATCATTGCATGGACTGATACAATCTGGCCCCAGTGCGTCACTGCAGACAAACACAGCCTCCTTCCTCAGCAACGGGACCGCGCTTCATGAAGAATACTCACAACGTTTCCGCATATTGTCAGACGTTCTCTTTCCCACTCATATTGCTCGCTAATTTTATTTACTTTTTATTTTCTGTCTAAACTGTACTGACAATGTTTGCTTGTTTTCCTGATTGTGTGTGTGTGTGTGTTTTATTAAATAGCAACTGGAAGGGGTTTGTCGTGTAAGCGGAGAGCTGTGATTGTACATATCAAACCTGTTGGAAGAGGGAGGGCTGTTTTACTGCAGACACTAAAGAAGGACTGTTATAAAGAATGAACTGCATATTTATTTTTTATTTCCACATTTAAATTATTTATGCAACCTTTTTGTAGTAAATGATAGCCATTATTGTCATATAGTATGATAGAGATGTTGGAGATGAAATACTGTACAGAACATGAATAAAGTAAAGGCAGATATATTTGAAAGAGCCGGCGTATTTGTTATCTTTCATATTTAAATGTGTTGCAGGTTACACTTTACCTTGATCCTCATGTAGCATTAGTAAGTAGGTCATAAATATCTTATAAATGGGTTATGACGCACTAGTTATAAGCAGATATAAGTGATTATAACTCCTTCTGTGGTGGGATGTAAAATACATTTACTATGATCATTTAAGTACTGTACTTAAGTACAATTTTGAGGTACTTGTACTTTATAAGAGTATTTCCATTTTATGCTACTTTATACTGCTGCTCCGATTGATATTGGAGGCAAATATAGTTTTTAATTTACTACATTCTTCAATTACTAATTAATACAAAATGTAATCAACAAATAAATCCTGAAGCATTTCTGTTTAACGTGACAGAATAAAAAATAATTACCAGCTGCAACATCGACGTGATGAACACATTAATGCATCAATAATTATATTCCATGATTTAGAGATTGTAATGCAAATACATTTACTTGTATCAGAGTATTTCTGTGGCATTGCTACTTTTAATGTAAGACCTGAGTACTTCTCCCAATACTGCCCATAAGTGGCAGCTGCTGTATAAACACAGTAAAGGAAGTAAAAGTGTTTTACTACTATGAAATATGTCTTCATCTGAGAAGTTGTAATCGTTGGCAAATACTGTACGTGAACTTTATAGCTGCTGACAACTTCATTATAGTGTGTTGTATTAAATGCATTATTAAATGTTTATATATGCTTATAACGCTGAATATGAGGTTAAAGTAAAGTGCATTTTTTGGGATGTCTGTTTGACGTCTGCGCAAACAAATTCAGCCAATTAGGAAGTTGGGATTTTTCCGCCGTTTGAAGTGTCTGCACAGCTTTGCAAAAGAAGAAGAAGAAGAGGAGGCGGAATCTTCACTCTTTGTTTAAGAGGCTGGATGAGAGCCACAGTCATCATTCCTCTCCTCCCTCGTGGCCGCAGGCTCGATCCTTCCTCACTTTAAAAGAGCGCTCTGTGGACGCTTGTCATATCTGGAGCGCACCTTTGCCAGCAGAGAGACCAGCGCTTTGCTGAGACTTTTCACTTGCAGGCAAAACAGGAGTTATGCAATCCAGGCGCCGATGTAGCAGACAGAAAAAGAGGTGTTTACGCTGAGTTTTATCTGCAAATGTTATTTTTAATTACCGGGACAAGAGCTCCCTTCGAGCGCCAAATAAACACGGCGTAAAACACAAAACAGGAAAATCACTGTGGCAACTGCGGCCGAGAGCTCGTCTTTTATCGTGCCAACGGAGAAACGGTAGATATTACATTTCACTACGTCACCCGTAATGTGCAGTCATTATGTCATTTTCAAGCCCTGTTTTCCACGAAAGAACAGACATGCCATGCTTTCACTCAGGCAACTATAGCAATGGAGGAAGTTTCCCAAGGAAGTCTAGAACACGTACTTAAGAGCGGTGCCTGAACGGTACCTTACTATATCGATGCTGACAAAGCATCTGCCCCACGTTACCGTGTGCACACACCAACGACCTGCCGGTGACCCTCGCGCAGGTCTGGGGAGGTGCACGAGGAGTCAGGCGTGATCTATTATCCCCAGCAAATGTGGCAAGTCTACGACACTCCGCTGTGTCATCGAGGAAGTTTTGAATACCAGGTGCAGAAATCCCCGAGGAACTCTGCTCCGTGACAAGTGTAAGAAACAGGACTGGATTAGATACACACAGCGAGTTCTCGAGCAGTTCCTGGTTGACTCATGGCCTCTAGGAGGAATATTTATAGAACTGACACACTGACCACAGTGTATGATAAATGACGTCCAAATGTGGGAGAAGAAATGACACGATTGCACTGTATGAAAGGAATTACGCTGTGAGCTCTTAAGAACATTTACTCAACGACAAATTCAATGTACTTTACTTAAATATGTCCATTTTATGCAACATTACACTTTGTACTTCACAACATGTGCAGATTATAATTCCTCACGCCCTTCTTGTCCGGTGAAAACTGAATCCTCCGTCTTCTGAAGCTAAATAAACTTTTTAAAAAGCCTCTCGGATCAGCTGGAAAATACATCGTGACAAAGCTGAAAACAAGCTGTTTTTCTTTTTAGAGATACGACAGACGCTACAAACACGTGATGATGTTACAGAATATGATGCATTGCTGCAGAATAAACGAGTCAAAATGATATAAAGGAGTTCTCATGCAACAGTAATATTAATCCTGAAACATCCTATTTAATAGTAAATCACCGACGGGGAACATTTTACTGCACTATAACTTTGTTTACTTTAAGTATGTTTTGCTAATTACATACTTCTACTTCAGTAAGGTTTTGAATGCAGGACTCTTACTTTAGTATTTTCATAGTGTGGTATTAGTACTTTTTGCTTCAGTAAAGGATCTGAGTACTCAGATTCTGTCATGACCAATTCGGTGCACTAGCCGAGATTTTAGTTTGTTCCCGTTGCATCGCAGCCAATCGTTGTTTTCATACTCTCACAGAAACCAATCATATTTTTTGAGATGAAGCTGTGCAGATCCAGCCCAGTCTCCCAAAAATTACGTTCCCATGCAATGAAACTGCATTGTGAATTACGTTTGCTTTTCAAATACCGCAAATAAACTTAGGATTCTGGATTGGTCACAAAACACAGGACTTTCACCCTGGAGACCACTGTCCGTGTCCTGTGTAAACCAAGTCGTTTTGTAACTGTTTCAATTTAAGTTTCCCCCAAAACGTAAATAAAGAGTGCAGTTTGCACTTTGTAGGAGACATGCTTAGCAGATCTCACTATTTAATTGGCTACAATGTTGTTGTGTGCTTTTTTTTGGTAATATTTCAAAATAATAGTATTTAAAACTGTTTGTATAAAATAGTAGAAGTCATGCATTTGTAATTCTTGATTCTTAACCGACCTACAGTCACACCGTCTGTGAACCTTTTCTTTCAACTGACAAGTCATCAAGATAATCACTGTTTCCCATCAAAGCTTTACTCTCTCAGTGCAGAGAGAATCTCCTTCTCGCCACGTCTCCTGAAAAAAAAAAAGACCTACGTGGAATAAATGTTTCTCACAAATGCATGTTTCCGTTTTCCCTCCTTTGAACTCCCATAATGAAACGGTAAAATATCTAATTTCAGCTTTGTGCAGTGCAAGCTTGTTGTTTAGCGCACAGCCGGAGAGTTGTCGAGAAGGCCGCCACTTGAGTGGCTTCAGCACTGTCAACACAGACCTAACTGATGTTCAGCCAACCGCAGAGGAGACAGTCAACTCAAATAGACTGTATATCATCTGCAAATAAAGAGTCCTCCTTCATTGATGTGTGTTTCTTCTGTTGACTGCGGACAAACCACCAGTGGAAACTGACTTGAGGTGACATTCATAGCATGTGAAGTGCTTTCTCTCACATGCCAATAACTAACCCCTATAAAAAAAACAATCGTAAAAGCGTTGTGTTTCTGGTCCGCCTGCTCAGTCCACTTGCTTAACAATGTTGTAGGTTGTCCAAGACGTTTATTGAGACGGAGAATATTTACTGAACTTTCCAGGACAATCTCGGATAATTTTCGGACATAAATGCCTCTCTGCACACCGGTAGTTTCGGGCTCCGGGCCCCTCGAGTCAAACTTTTCCAGGAGCGGATATTATTGCTCAAGTCAAACACATGTGGACGATGACGGATGTAGTCGGAGACGGATGTTTGCGCTCCTCCAATCACTCCCTTTATCAGGACGTGAGCGCTAATAGCTTGGAAACCAAATGGAAACCAGAAGAGGGACGCGGAAAAGTTCAACTAACTTTCTGTTCCTCAAGACAGAGCTGGCTTTTCTTTTTTTTTTGGAAGGTGGGCAGTGTTTCCTGCAGGCTGACAGTGTAACTCAACAGGGAAAGGAGAAGCTGGCGTGGAGACAGAGGCGAGACCAAAGATCTTAAGTTAACTTCATCCAGACTGCATCTTGGGAAGAGATTCACGCCGGTCTACGACAAAGAGGACTCTCTCTGCATCATTAAGAAGATAAAGAAGTAAAAGTGACACCATTCCCAGAGATGGACAGTAGCTTCCTCACGGGTCGGGGGCTTCCACTGAGCCATGTAAGCCTCAGTCTCTCAGCCGAGGCCAGGCATGCAGAGAAAGGCGAGCCAACCACATGTGCTCAGGACAACAGGAGGTGCGGAGGATGTGAAACAGGGCTGTCAACAAACAATTCAAAAACAACCGCAGCAAAGCCCCAAGGTTGTGGAGGCAGAATGCATTTCCTTTGCTTAATCGTGACCTTATGGACCGAAACATATAAGATGTTTTAGTTCTGGAATATATAAGAAGCAACTCGTGTGTTTGGCTTGTGAGTTATTTTTTGGTGATGCTTTTAGTGTCGACTTTTCCAGACCCTTAAAAAAGAAGATGACGAATTGGTGTAACTGCTGTTACACTTTCTGTGTGTGTGTGTGTGTGTGTGTGTGTGTGTGTGTGTTGATTTGTGTGCGACTGAGGGGGGGCCACGTAAAGGCCAATCCAACACGTGCGCTATAAAGAGTTTACGCAACCTGTCATTCGGTAATTAGCTTGAGGTCAATGGAACTGACGACTCAAGGAAAGCTGACACAAGCGAGGTCAGTTCGTCCGCACACAAAAGCAATTAAAACGTCTGTTTACGTTTGATGTGTTGTAAACTGTCAGACGGAAACTGCAAATCTTCATTTCAAAAAGGAGGTCGTGCAGCAATATCTATCGAGAGAGACGTCTGGGTTCTGTTCCAGAAGTAAGAAAACATCATTCAAGATCCAATTGACGTTTAGAACACTTGTAACCAGAACAAGGTGGACAGACTTCATTCTCTGCTCAGGGAGACGGCGCTCCGCTGTATCTTTACATAGACAACAGCTGTTTGCTGCTATATTAATGCTCTGGAAATCAAATTTAGCATCTTTAAAACAAAACTTGTTTGCAAAATAAGTTTTTAAAATGAAGGCTACCGGAAGAGATATCTTCAAGGAGTTTCAGCAGGATTACCCAGCATGCAGTTTGAC